TTTTTTTTTTTTTAAAGATTTTATTTATTTATTTGACAGAGAGAGAGAGAGACAGACACAGAGAGCACAAGCAGGGGGAGCAGCAGAGGGAGAGGGAGAAGCAGGCTCTCCACTGAGCAGAGAGCCTGATGCGGGGCTCGATCCCAGGACCCTGGGATCACGACCTGAGCCAAAGGCAGACACTTAACCGCTGAGCCACCCAGGTGCCCCCATAGCTGTTTTTTAACAACGCTGAAAATGAGAACTCTCCACCAGTGATTGATGAGTGGTGAGCTCCCTGTCACCCAGGGTATTCAAGCAGAAGCTGAAGGTGTCAGAGAAGAAATGCCTACAGAAGGTGGGAGGCTCTCTGGAGAACATGAACTCCAGAAGCACCAGGATAAAGTGGAAAGACAAGGGGATTAGCGTCAGATGCGCTTGGGAACTTTCCTGCTGAGTGACCCTTCTGAGCTTCAGTTCCCTAGTCTGCAAAATAGAATCGGTAGTAATTCTGCCCATGTCATAAAGAGTTGTTTTGAGGAGGTGCCTGAGTGGCTCAGTCAGTTAAGCGTCTGCCTTCGGCTCAGGTCATGATCCCAGGGTCCTGGGATTCGAGCCCCACATCGGGCTCTGTGCTCAGCAGGGAGCCTGCTTCTCCCTCTCCCTCTGCCTCCCCGCCTGCCTACTTGTGATCTCTCTCTCTCTTTGCCAAATAAATAAATAAAATCTTAAAAAAAAAAGTTGTTTTGAGGATTTAATCAGATAATGCAAGGGCGAAGAGTTCTCTACTCTGTACGCTGGGTCAGATGTGAGTTATGTTGTTACCCTTTCCTGAAGCCAGGAGGTACTTCATGAATCTTCATTAACTGATTTTATCCTCAGACACTTGAAAGGTGGGTATCTCCATGTTGAGCTGGGGAGCCGACCAGGTTCCGTCCCCCCACCTTGGCAAGAGTGAGGGGCGGGGAGCCCTGGTCCACTCCTGCTGCTGCTTGGACCTATGAGGCCATTGTGGTGGCAGAGAAGGCCACCTGAGACCTCAGCTCAGTGCCTGCCACTGGGCAGGGCACCCCCCCCCCCGCGCCCCGTTCTCTGCGGGCATCTGCATAACTACCCGCTGGAGTCAGTCTCATTAAAGCCCTTTTGCAGATGGGGGAACTGAAATTCAGAGAGGTTAAGAAAGCAGTCCCTGAACACAGAGCCAGGAGGAGGCAGATTCAGAACTCGAATCTTAGTCTTTCTGGCTCTAAGGCCTATGTCTTTCTATTCTCACGTGGCCTCGTGAGGAGGGGAAATAAGCAAGTGAAACCAAAATGTATCACTTGTGCTTTCCAGGGCTTGCTCTGGAGAGGACACCAGATATGAAAAGCCCATAAGCTGCCGGGACTACCTGTTAAAACCCGGCAAAACAGTAAGGGCTGGGAGTTCAGGGCTACGTGAACACTCTGTGTCCTGCACCCACAGGTGAGGGGCCCCCGAGGCAGAGAGGCAAGAACAGTCCCTGGAGTCAGGAGGCCCAGGAACGCCCCCCAGGGCTGCCCCTAGCCTACGGCTGTCCTCAAGCCAGTTACTTTTCTCCTCTGGTCTCGGTTTATACCTGAGTTGTGTTGGACCCAATAATAGAGCCTTGCCTACCTTCTGGATTCTCACAGAATCGAGCTCGATCAGGCACAGGAAGTAATTTTAAAAGTACAAATTGGGGTTCAAGTGCAAGGGATCCTTACCAGTTGGTAAGGATCGTGTGCGGGGGGCAGGGGCTGGCTCGAGGGGGGCCGGCCACTGGTGTATGTTCGCAGCTTCCTCGTGGCTGGACCAGGTGGATGACACCTGCTTTCCCTGTTCTCAGAAGCTTGTGGTCTGGCCAAGAGACAAACAGTACAATTCAAACACACCTCATTCAAAGAAATTAGACTCTGTAAACAAGTGCCTCCCCCAGGCTGCCCTCTGGGCCCCCCGCCCCAAATAGTCCTGTGAATGGTCAGTGCCAGGAAACTTCCTGAACTCAGGGCTTTTGTAGAGACAACAGGTGTATAGGGACGACTGGGCTTACTCTCACTAATGAGACTCGTAACCTTTTTCGATGCAGTGAGCTATAGGGGTAGAGACTCTGTGATCCATCTCCGGTTGCCATGGAGTCTCCTCTGGGCGTCTCACGTGGCCTGTTCCAGGTACCCCACTACTTGGCAGGCAGGCAGGCTCTGGTTTATTATGCGTCATGGAAAAACCAGGTGGCAACACGGGGTGGCAGGGGGGGGCTTCAGAGCAGGAAGCTGCTCCCTGAGCTCCCAGTGAAGCAGTGGGGGCCTGAGGGGGGTAGGGGCTTGGGGCCAGGGCTCAGGTACATTGTCCACTCACCGCACGTGGCTCACGGGCAGACAGTGTGTGTGCGGGGGCCCGGGTCACCGAGGTGCTTGTTGGGTCGGTGCTTTTCGTCACACTGGGCGTGAGCACTAGACACCACCCTACCGAAGGCCATTCATCCAGGTGGATCATGATCCACTGGGACCGAGGGGTCTGCTGAGCTTCCTCACCCCGCCAGGACTCCGTGACGGCCAAGGCCCCTGGGAAGGTTTTCCCTCCAGGTGAGATCAAGCAGGTTTCTGACAAGGATGATATGAAGACCCCTCTGAAGAGGAGAACTCCCATGGATGATGACCAACACCGCTCCACATGTTGGCCGCCCACCACAGGTCCTCTCCATGAGTCCCAGGGTCTCATTTGTGGGACAGGAGGCCAAGTCCAGCCGTGTGCTGAGCTCCACTGAGAAGATTTTCGAGGAGGAGGGGCCGCTGGGATTCTCTGCCTTCTCCCTCCCTTGCCGGGAGATGCAGTTTCTTCTGGGATGGTAGCCCACTGGCCCATTTGATCAGTGCCTGCCTGGCACCTCCCAGTGTGATGCAGGGGCCGGGAAAGGACCAGAGCCCAGGTTCCCACTTCAGCCAGGCCCTGGCCGTTCTGAGCTATGTCGTGTTTATGATGGGGCTTGCCATAAGCATGCCGGGCAGTGTCCTCATGGCTGTGGACGAGGCCAGGCTCCCCCATTTGCTCCCCCGTGTTCTAATCTTGTATCCAGGACTGGGAGTACGTGAGTGAGCAAGGCCAGGTCTTCCGAGGCTTTAGCTTGCTTTTCTGCCAGGCGTCATCGGGGTGGTGTTTGGCCCTGGGATAACTGGAATCACCTAAAATACCGCTGTCCACCATCAGCCCGGCCCCCATGTGTAAGGCCTGATCGTCTGGGAGCTTGCCTGACGTAACACCTCTCTGTGCTCCAGCCCACCTGGACTTCAGTTTCCATATTTGCCGGACGTCCGTCCAGATGCAAGGGTGTGGCGTGGCGGGTCCCCTGTTAGACCTGGGTGAGGTGGGGTGGGGTGGGGATGGAAATCGGGGCCAAATCCCATTATTTTCCAGATTTGCTGAGTGTGCCTTGGGCAGGGGCCCAGAGAATGGCCTGGGGAGGTCCAGGTTGGATGAAAAAAGGCTCAGGGGGTCAGATCCTACCCCAGCGCTCCTGCTTTGCAAATAGGACCTGTCCCCTTCCGCCTGGCAACTGTCACATCTAGGCCTGCGCTGGGAGGCTATTGTTAGGTTGCTTTGTTCTCCTCAGCACAACTTCTCTGATATGAAGGCAGCATTTTCTAAATGGGAAATCATGTGACTGCTCAGAATACATCCCCCTCATCAAATGCCCGTCGGTTTAATGGGGAGGCCAGGATCTGGTTAGCTGTGAATACCCAGAAGTTAGACACATCAGTGTCTCTCGTCCTACCCAGTTGAAAAGGTCTTGATACAATTTGACCTTTTCTTCTTCAAAAAAAAGTGTTGGTGGTGATTTTGGGGGAAAAAACAATTACAGTGACAACAGCTGACCCGGAGCACTTATGACATGCCGGGTCGGGCACCTGCAACAGATAATCCTCACGGCCACCTAGTGAGATACGGAGTAGTGTGTCCAGTTTACAGATGAGGGAACCGAGGCTTAAGGCAGTTGAGTAGCACACAGTTGGGAAGTTCACAGAAATTACAGTGTCTAAGGACTGAGGCCTTACTTTTCTTCTGCACGTCCGTCTGGCTGTGATATTCGTCTTTGTTGTAGGGGACGTGTGTGCAAGGCTGCACCTGTGTGCTCTTGCCACACTGAGTCTCCACCCTGGCCATGTCCTGGCCCAGGCTCCAGCCCAGACCTAGTCAGTGAGAAGCCAGGGGGCAGACGGGACTGGGCAGCCAGGACTGAGAGGCTGAGGGAGACCCTCAGTGTTTCAGGACACTTGCTCAGACCCTGGGTTCTCTTGGGTGCTATGGACTGGGGCTGAGGACTGGAACTCAGAGAAAACAGCTGCAGTTATATAGGAAAACAGCCACCATCCAGCGTGTTAAATACCCACCTCCCTTTGGGACTGAAGGTGATGGGGATACGAGAAGGTGTGCAAGTGGCTCGGGGAAGGATGCAAACAGGTCTCTGCCTTGGGGATGAGGGTGCAAGGAAGAAGCTGGAACCAGGGAGCGAGTGTCTCTGCCTCATGCCTTTGAGTTGGCATCCTGGAAAAGTGTCTTCTGTTCGAGGGAAGCCTCTGGACCCAGGGTAAGCTGTAGCCTTAGCCCCACGAGGGCAGGGACTCAGAAGACCTTACCCGCCTGTTCGACATCACAGTTCTTATGGATGAAATTTACAAAAACATCTACCAATACATTTTTTTCACTTTATTTTCACTACATCCTTAAGGTAGATCTGATTACCAACCATTTTACAGATGAAGAACTGAGGCCCAGAGAGGTGAGGTGACTTGTCCAAGACGACACAGCTACTTAGTGGCAAGGGAAGGGCTAGAATCCATCTGACACCCAATCCAGGGCTCCTTCTATGTCAGCCTTCCCTGGCATTGAGCAGATGCCCAAGAAATAGTTAATCAGTTACCTAATTGAATTAGACCCTGGGTCCCCTCGTGGAACTTTCCATGCTATCACCGACTTCCTCAGGCCCCTCGCTCTCAGCACAAGCCCAGCTGGACCGGGTGGAGGGAGGATCCCTACCCCGGGAAACGTGTTGCGGTTAATATCCTCTCCTTGGCCAAATCACACACAACATACTTGTCATGGGCCATAAAATCATGCTGCTCTCTAAAAAGAAAGAAAGAAAACCTGTCCTTGTTACTTATCTCTGGGGGAGGCGACCAATTCCCCTCCCCCCCCCCCGTGCTGGCTCTGCACAACAGGAAGAAATATTTCTTCTCATTTGTTCTAAATTTACTGTCCAGTAATTTTTCTGTCCTCATTTTATGTGACAGGCAGCTGAGCGATTTTCGCCCAGCCCCTTTCCTGAATCTCCACCACCCCAATAAATCGCTGCTGACACCTCCTCTCCAGTCCTAAAAGAAAAAAATCACCCCAGCGTTGGTGGCCTTATTGGGGGATGGCTTACCTCCTAGAGGGCTTTGGACCCTTACCTGTGGTCAGTGCAGGGCTTGTGGCTTTGCCTCAGGGCCAGAGGGCAGGCCAACTTTGGCCCCAGCATCTTCCCTGAAAACCACACAATATCTAATGAACGTCTCCCCTGCACCCCTGTGCTCTGCTGTTGAAGGTGAAGGGAAAAGGCAAAAAATGCAGCCATTGGTCTCTAGTGCTTACAGCCTAGGAGGAGGGGACTCTCAGAACCTGATGAGTTATGTGTGTGGGGGAGTGTTTTGTTGGGGGGGAGAATCAGCCATTGAATTCCCAGGGGCAAAGGTCGGGGGGATAGGAGTCTCATGCTGAGTGGAGGGAATGTGCTAGCAATGGCAGGCTGGGAGAGGAGCAAGCTCAAGGAGGGTAGGAAAGTTCCAGGGCGCTCAAGGAGGAGCAGGAGAGGAGGTGTGGGGAAGGCATCAGGGGGCTGGGCCTGGGCTGGTGGGTCAGGCCGGAGCCCAGCTTGATGAGGAGTTTGGATTTGCTCTGAGTGACGGGGTCATCAGCAGTTTCTGAGCAGGGCCTGTGGGAAGCCTACAAAGAGATCGGCCGCCCGGCGCCTAAGGGGTCCTGGATCAGGCTGGTAGTCAAAGGTTTGAGATTGGGATTCAGGGGCGTTAGAGTCGGAACCCCGGGGCAGCCTGGAATCACCTGCTTCCATAGCGCAGGGGAGACATCCAAACGCCGCTCCTGGACAAGGGTGGGCAGAGCCGGGCCCGGGGCAGGAGAGCGAAGCGAGGGGGGGCTCACTGCCTGGCACCAACCTGGGGCAGCTTCTTGCTTGCTGCTGGCTAAGCTGAAGTTCTCTGTATTTCTATGCGGGGCTGTTGGGAGGATCAGAAAAGTTATTGCATTAAAGGGGTGTCTGGCACATAGTAAACACCAAAGGAATGTTAGTTCTCATCCTGTTGAATGGAAGAGGCAGCTGAAAGAGGGTGAATACCTTGCCCCAGGTCAACCCACTGGTAAGCTTGACAGGGTGCAAGCGCGTGGCATCCACTCCCACAGCCCCGATAGAGGGCTGCAGGCGGCCACCAGGGGGCACTCTGGCCTTGGGAGAAGCACTGTGGGCCACGCGCGGCATTTCCGCGCAGGGGTGGAGGCAGGGGCTAGGCCCGTTATGCAGGCTGAGTTGCTGCACGCATACCTAGTAGGGAGTAGTCTAAAATCCATGTCTTCTCACTCGCAGTGCAGTGAGCTTTCATACAAAAATATTTTTATTTAACCAGAATATTTACCATACCTCCTTGCCCAATCCCGTTGTACGAAAATGCCAGTGCTGGCTAAATGTGCACTACTAGTTTGACAAAGGGTAATATGGCAGTGAGGACTAGGGGTTCACCTGCAACTGGGGGTGGAACAGGCTAGACAGAGTTCTGAGCCACATTTTGTAGGATGCATCAGACTTTACCAGATGACAGAGTTGCAGGGAGAGAATATGTAGAGGGAACAGTGCATGCAAAGGCACAGAGGCAGAGTCTGGAAGAGCAAGGTGTGTCCTGGGAATTATAAGTGTTGGGGGGGAAGGGAGGGAAGGGGGACAAGGACAGATGAAGCTGAGGCCACGGAACTGGGACCGGTGAGCAGGGAGATTGCCAGGTTCCAGCTGGGAAGGGGCTCCCCAACTGTACCTTTGTCTATTGCTCGTGAGACCCCTTGGGGCGGGGAGGGAAGCCCAGCCCCACGCCCCACTGCCCTGAGTGGGAGACGCTGCTCAGCGCCTGGCACTGAGGAAACTGGGAGTCAGGGAGGGAGAGTTAACCCAAATTCTCACAGTCCCAATTACTGATCTCATTCAAACCTCAATCCTGTTCTCTCCCTGCGAGGAGGCCTTAGGGAGCTACATGCCCTAATTCAGGTGGTGCCATTCATCCAGACACGGGTATTTTATTTCAGAGACTTCCAGAATGCGTGGTTCATATGGGAGTTCACGCACAGCTGGGCTCAGTGGGCCTGAGGCAGCAGTCCTGTGTCCACTGGACAGCTTCACCTTCCCACCTAGTTTCTGCTTCCTTCCGGTCTTCCTAGGATCTGTGGCCCCACCAAGTGTCATGTCGGGCTGTTGGGGGAGGGCAGGTTTTTCCCAGAGCTGGTCCAAGGCTATGGGGAGGGAAGTTGTGGTCAGACGGGGTGTGGGGAATGGATCCAGCCCCCCTTGTCATGATTTCCTGGACCAGTCATGCGGCCACCCTGGGATGGTGGGGATATGTTCTGTCACCCTGGGCCTGGCTGATCGGTCTCATCTCCTGGCACAGGGGCACAGAGCTTTGGCCTGCTGGATCCCAAACTGTGCTACCTGCTGGATGGGATCCTCTTCATCTATGGCGTCATTCTCACTGCCCTGTTCCTGAGAGCAAAGGTGGGTGCCATGGGCCTTGGGGAGAAGGCGCGGGCTCCCCTACTTGGTGGATGTTCAGAAGGGCCTTAATCTTGGAAAGTCTCAAGCATGGGTGGTGCCTGGAGCCTGGTGTCCATGGCAGAGCAGGGGCCAGCCAAACATGCACCTTGGGTGGTGGGGTGGTGTCTGACGGAGCCCTGCAGAGTGGGAGGGAGAGTGTGATGCTGGGTGTCCTCCCGAGGAGCCATACAGATGAGCAAACATCGCAGCATCCCAGGGCAGGGCTACTGTTGGCCAGAAAGGAGCTTAAGCTTCAGGCAACTAAGAGCGGGAGGTGGGGGACCTGTGGTGTCTTCCCAGGCTCTGCTGTCCCGCTGCTGACTGAGGCAGAACCAGCCTGTCTCCGGGAACTTCAGGGTCCCTATCAGTGCACGTGAGGGTGGGCCCAGAGCATGGGTTTTCAGCTGGTGCCTCGCAGAGTCTGGATTTCTTGCAAGGGTTGGGGCCGGGGGTAGTCGCCGTGCCAGCAGAGGGTGGAAGGAGGCTCGGTCCTTGTTATCACTTCAGTCCTCCCACCTATTGCTCTTTGGCAAAAGATTTCATTTGTAAAACAGTCTTACTTACTGATTTCCTTTTTAAAAGTTTGAGCAGAGCTGTCCTAGATGATCTCTCAGGTGGTTTCCAATGCTGTGCCCCTTGTACGATCCTGCCGTTTCTCTCGGCTCCGGCGGAGAGAAGAGCGCCAAGAGCGAGGCTGTGTGCGCCTCGGGCAGGTTCTCCAGGACACTAAGCTAGTGCGAAGCAGTGATGCACGAGGCCACGACAGGAGCTGGGACCTTGTGCAGCCACCGTCCCCCTCGGAGCGGCCGCCCGGGTTGGGGGTCCGGGGCGGGGGGCGCCGCATGGGCCCAGCGCACAGGCGGGGGAGCGGGGCTCTAACCGCCCCACCCTCTCTTCCAGTTCCGCAGGAGTGCGGCCGCCCCCCAAGACCAGCAGGGCCCCAACCAGCTCTACAACGTAAGTCTGCCCTCCTGCAGCCCGCCAAGGGGCCGACGGCAGGGTCCCGGCTGCAGGCTGGACCGCGGCCTGTTGTCGAACGTCCCCAGGGCTTTGTTTTCTGGCGCGCACATGGGGCCTGTGATTGTCCCGGCCGCGCGGGGACGCTGCGAGCGTGCCCTGGCCGGTGAGACCCTCCCGCCCGCACTTGGCAGGGGCCCCGCTGTGGGTGGGAGGGGGGTCAGTCGGCCTGCAGGGCAGCAGGGAAGAGATTTCACTCTCCCTGTGCAATGGGACTTGGGCCGAATCTACTGACACACACACACACACACACACACACACACACACACACACAGACACGAGTCATGGTGATGCATGTTCTCTGAGACGCTTTACCGACATGGACCAGTTTTCCCTCTAAGCCCAGTCCCTGCCCCTTTCCTTGAGAGCCACCACCCAGAGGGGGCTCCCAGTCCAGCTGGCCCAGTCCTCCTGCCCCCCCAGCCCTCTCTGACGCTTTTCTGTCTGTTTTAGGAGCTCAATCTAAGAGGAAGAGAGGAGTATGAGGTTTTGGATAAGAGACGAGGCCTGGACCCTGAGACGGGAGGAAAACAGGTAGGGTATCCGTCTCTCTGCCTGTGTGTGGGAGTGTGGGCATGCTCAGCAGGACAGCCAGGAGACGGCTCCTCAGAGCCAGCGCACTCCACCAGCACACTCCGTCCTGACAGGCAAGGGACCCGGGGCCTGAGGACAGTCGGGAGTCCCCATTCCTTCCACCCCCTTCTCTTCCTTCCCCCTGGGCTCCATTCTGCATTGCAACGGACCTCCCAGACATGAATGTGGCACTCTGGCCCTCCTGACCAAGCTCCACTCACCTCCCCTTAAACTGCTTGGCCACCCTGAGATGCACACGCAATGGGGCTGTCTGCTCCCCAAAAGGACATATCTGGTGAAGAGGTCCATATAGGAAGGGCCCAAGGCCATTGGATAAGGAATTCTGGGTCCCAGGTACCCCTTGGAGCATGGTCTGGCTCCGGGCTCCTAGTGGCTCTGTTCTCTCGGCTGTAAACTCCACAGCCTGGGGCGGGGAGAGGAGGCTGGAGGAGGCCAGGGCAGGGTCCTCTCATAAAGAGGGTTCAGGGGCACCTGGCTGGCTCAGACAGTTAAGCATCTGACTTTGGTTCAGGTCATGATCTCGGGCTCCCCAATCAGCAGGGAGTCTGCTTGTCCCTCTCCCTCTGCTCCTACGCCCGGCTTGTGCTCTCTCCATCTCTCTCAAATAAATAAACAAAATCTTAAAAAAAAAGGGTAGGATCCAGCCCAAAGGCCCAGGCTGCCCAGGTTTTAGGGCAGTGCTTCCTGACAGTGCCCAGTGGCCCTTGATGTTGCTGGTCACACCTGCCCCCACAGCCCCCCTCCACACTAAGCCCTGTGCTGGGTGCGTTTCCTTGGCACCCTGCCCTCCAGTCTCAGCTCTCCTCTCCTCTTCTTACTTGGACTAGGAGGGGTGAAGAGGGGTGGGGATGGAGGGGTCACTAGGGCTTGCTAGGCAGTGGTTGGCCCTGCTCTAAGTGAGGGTACTCAGTATCTTTCGTTTTCAGCCAGAAATGCCATGTGACACGTGTGGCACTGTATCTGCCAGGGGACATGGACCAGCTATCAGCAGATACCCCCAAGGCCTGCCCCGGGCAAGGCTGGGCTGAGGAGGCCCTGCGGGGGTGAGGCCAGTGTGCCAGGGAGTGTGCCCGTGTGCACTAAGAAGTAGGAGCCACAGTAGAGCTGTGAGGAGGGGGGCAGAGGGGTGGCCCAGGGTGTGAGGAGGGGGGCGGCGGGGAGGGTGCTACAACTCTCCTGGCCTGGAGCCCTGTTTCTCCACCTCTCACCTGCCCCTCGTCTTTCCCAGCAGAGGAAGAGGAATCCTCCGGAAGTCGTGTACAACGTGAGTACGGGAGGGGGCTTGGGAAGCTGGAGCTGGGCTCGGGGTGAAGGCATCGCTCCTTACCCCGAGTCTTTGCCTGACTTGACTTTCACCTTCCTGCACCACTTGACTCACGGGCTTGCTGCCTGCAGCGGCAGGCTGCTGGCTGGCTGTTCGGAGGACAGCCCCTTCGCTTGCCTTCCCCCCTCCTCGGTCCCCGGGGCCGCTGTTGGCATTCCCTGTGGATGGCGCTGGGGGACAGCAAGGTCAGGCTGGGTGAGAATAGGGTGGCAAGCCCCTGGGAGGTCAGCCTCACCGCCTGGGTGCGGATCTGGTTGTGGTTTTCAGACTGTTGATCTGGGGCTGCCCTGAAGGGGACCGTTGCAGGTGGTAACCTCCTGTGAGGAGAGCCACCTCTTCTTCCTTCCTGCAATTGGCCGATCCACAGCCCATGGCGTTGGCCCTATAAAGAGACAAGTTGCTCAAATAAGTGGTTCTGGGGACTGCAGGTGAGCCCTTGCATTGTCCACATTCATGTGCTTCGGCTAGAATTCCACATTTTATCTTCCAACCTAACTTGAGCTTCTCAGCTCAGTGCACAGGGCTGGCGGCTCAGAGAATGTTCCAAGGGGCTGAGGAGAAGGGTAAGGCTGGAGCTGGTTGTGGGCAGAGGTGCTTGTGTGAATAAGGACTGGAGCTTTGACTGTGGGAGCTCCCTGCCAGCTAGGAAGTCGAGAGGCTTCCTCTTGTGTGGAAGCCCACAGTTTTCTGCATTAATTAGTAAACTCCATGTCCCACGCCCTCTGCTTTTCCAGGCGCTGCAGAAAGACAAGATGGCGGAGGCCTACAGTGAGATTGGGATAAAAGGCGAGGTGAGTGCTGATTCCCAAGGATTGGGTCAGGGTGGGGATGCTCCCAGGGAGGCCCTCCTCACCTTCTAGATGTGCCTGCTGCATAGGCCTCCGTCCCGTCCATTTGCAGCCGTTCCTTACATCACTGACAGAAGGCCCTGTGGTAGCTGCCAGGGGCAAACGGTAACCCAGCTCTTCCCCACTTGACAGCACCTAAGACAGTGAGGAAAGGTGATGTTCTTTCAGGAACCAAGTCTAGATTCTAAGACACACTAAGCTTTGTAAAAAGCAAGTCGAATCTGTCACCATCAGTAATTACTAAGTGCTTACTGTGTGCCATGCTGTGTCAGGACTCTGGGGCAAAAGGGAAATGCAGGGCCCCTTGTATCTAAAAGATTAAGAATTTCCAAATGATGAGAGCAGAGCATTTACCCCTCCTGGGCAGGGGCTGCGTAAGTCACGTGTCCCCAAAGCAGGCCTGGTCAGTGCTTTACCGGGTAGGTAGTCTCACGTCATCCCCACAATAACCCAGTGAGAAATGTGTGCCCTGCAAGGCACAGGAGGTGAAGTGACTTGCCCGAGGTCGCCTAGCTAGTAAATAGGGGAGCCCAGATGTGCGTGGACTCTGTAGCCAGAGCTGCTACCACTATGTGGTTGCCATTCCCGGTGAGCATTGAGGAGTAGCCAGGAAGTCCGGGAGCAACAGGAAGGCCCATTTATTCCAAGCGGCAGGCAACATGGCCAGCTCCCATGCGGCCCGGATTCTAGGACTCTGGTGTCTCTGAGCATATGAGTGGGGCAGAGCAATCCTGGGCCGCATCGAAGCCAGTCCTCACCTTCTCTGCAGAGTGAGGTCTGACCAGCGGCCTGAGGACCCTTCTTTCCCAGGGGCAAGGGTGCGGGCTGGGAGACGGTCACCTCCGACTCTCTGGGGGCCCTGAGAGTAAGGGCCTTGAGCAGGAGCCGCTGCTGAATGTCTCTCTGCACTTTTGTCTCCTTCCCACAGAACCAGCGTCGGCGAGGGAAGGGGCACGATGGCCTTTACCAGGTAAGAGATGAGGCGGTGCCTCTGGTCTGTGCTGCGGGCCTTCCCTCCCTGCGTGGTGCCATCTAATCAGGATCAAGTCTAGACTCCCCCACTTTGCTTGCTTGGTGGCACCCAGATCTTGCCATCAGCTGGGCAGGGCTAAAAGCCCGGGCCTCAAATGAGGTCTCAGTGCCACCTCTGCCAGGAAGGCCTTGGGGCATGACTGGGATTCAGCCATCCAAGCACGTGACTTGGCTCCAACCGGGAGACCATGGGAGCCCCCAGGCACTGGCCACAGATAAGCAGCCACTGCCCAGAGGGGCTGATGTAGGCAAAGGACACCACACAAGCAATTTCCTGCCTCTTCCTCCACAGCTCTGGGCCCTTGCAAGAAGCCTTGCTCTGCCCTGTATCCTCACCCCTAATAAGATGGGTGGCTGGGTGGGAAAATTGAAGGGAAAAAAAGTCAAGAGAAACAATAACTTTAAAAAGGATATGCTGTTATAGTCACGTGCCTGGTGTATGCAAATAAGTGTGAGAAATTCTGCAAACCAAGGATACCCAGCCTACTTCTCTAAAATATAATCCCCAGCGGGTTCTTATTTGGCTACTTCTGGCTCCCCTGGGCTCTTCACAGCTTGCTTGACTGACTCCAACGTGTCAGGCTGCCCAGCTTGCCCGAGTTCAGAATGATGTCAAAAGGGCCCCCAGAATGTTCCTGTGTGTGGCTGCTTTGATCTGTCTTCTGGACCAGGGAGAGATGTTCCAGTGGGACTGGGACCAGCTTGCCTGCTCCCTGACAAAGAACATACCTGTAGTAGGGTGACCTGGGAAGGAGGCTGGGGAAGGAGGGCTGAGGTCAGGGAGCCACCGTCTCCCTGTGACAAGTCCTGGCTTCCTGGAGGCCCAGGTATCAGGGACAGCAAACTCTCTGGAGCAAACCTGATCCCAGCTCAGTGTTCAGGGATGAGGGTGCTCCCCTTCCTCTTGGGTCCAAACGGAAGTTCTTCTAGGCCCACGCACAGCAGGGCTCAGTATTTGGGAAGAATTTAGCTGGAAAGGAATTGCTCCAAGGCCATCTCCGGCAGGGCAGAGAGTGCATCCCTCCTGCAGCCCTCTGGGGTCCAGGCCCCCACCTGCGGCGTGAGGGGCTCGTTCCACTTGTTGACCTCTAGGTAGGCTCGTGCCCACACGGAGTTCCTGACCCACTTTTCTTTTCTGATTTGCTTTCACAGGGGCTCAGCACTGCCACCAAGGACACCTATGATGCCCTCCACATGCAGACCCTGCCTCCTCGCTAACAGCCCCAGGCATTTCACCACCCATTTCACAGGCCAGACCTGCCCAGATTGTTAAAGACACAGGATAAAGCATTTATAACCCAGTTCACTCCTATTTCTCCACCACCAAAGTACTCCCTCTTATGAATTGGATGCTTTGCATTTTAACATTTGGTCATACCCAGCTCCAAACCAACATCCCGGGACTCTGGAGGGGAGGGGGGCTCCGCCAGGGTTATGGCCCTGTCCTCGAGGAGTCCTTTGTGAGTGCCACCCGTTCTCGGGGCTTCTGGGGGTCTTGTGGTTCCTCGGAGACTGTGGACAGGCCCCTCTCCTGGAGGCCCGAGGCTCTTACCTGGGAGACGGGTACATACTCCTCTCACAGCCGTGTTCTGTCTGTGTTTTGTCAAGTCCCCAGAGCATTCCCAAATGTTAGCACATATCCCACTAGTCTTCATTGTTCCGTCAGTATTTCAGTGTCTTTGCTCCTGCTGTAAATTTGGCTTCTGTTGTCAACCTGCGCCCTCCTTTCAAGGTCACTTGTCACTGGGGCAAAGGGGCTGTTGTGCCTCCCCGTGCAAGGTCTGGGCGGGTGGGGGTGGGGAGAGCCGTGCAAGTCTGTGACAGCTCCAGCCAGGGGCGGCTGAAGCAGGGGAGCAGGGGAACGGTGATGGAGGCTCAGCTAGAGCACCGGGCGGGGTGCGGGGCAGACAGGAAGGGGCCCTCCTTCAATCGAGCGTACATTCCCCCCTTCATAGAACTTAGCGTTTGCGGGCTGGACACTCTGGGGAGCGGATGATGAACAAGCCTGTGCTTGTCCTCACGGAGCTCACACTCTCACAAGGGACGCGAGTTGTGAACAGACCGGCCTCAAAGCACGTAGTAAGGGCCGTTGCAGAGTGCGAACAGTGGGGGCGAGGGAAGGGGGCAAGAGCACACTCTTTCCAGGCACTTGTTCACCTCACACTCCGAGTGAAAGACAGCGTCCCTGTGAAGGCCTCCCCAGGAGGCACGGCCCCTCGCAGACCTGCAGAGACCCGAGGGCTGTGGCGGGCCAGGGTCGCCTCGGAGGGCGCCCGGGATCGCCTCGGCTGACTTCCGGGGTCGCCTCGGCCGACTTCCGGGAACAGTACTGTGTAAGGTGTCATGTGTGACCGTCTCTGCTCCGCTTGGTTTTAATTTATACTGGTTTGTTAAAGCCTTACTTACTCTCCTGCATAATAAACGCTTTGGTGAAACAGCTTTTACTGTGAGCTTTATTTCGGCAGTCCGGCAGGTAATGGTGATTCAGTCGGGGGCGACCCATCTGGTGCCCTTGCCACGGGCCGAAACCGCTGACTCCCAGAGGGCACGATGGTTCCTTGGGCCATGCAGGTGGGCACAGGTGCATCCAGGGGCCGGGAGTGCTGCCGTCCGGCCTGGCGGCCGTGCCTCGGGGCCAAGCAGGCATCAGGCTGGGCCAGGCCAGGGCGGGACCTGCGGGAAGGGCCCGGGGAAGCAGCCGGAGTGCATGCAGGGCTCCCAGCCCCGTGGCCAGCTTGGGGAGGACGGGCATGCGGCAGAGGAGGGCCACGGAGCAACTCCTGGCAGCTGAGAGGGTGTCTGGGAGTTGCGATGGGCCGCTGATGCCACGGCACAAACCCTCAGGCTGCAGGGTTTGGGGAGGGCTGGAGCATGAGAGGTCTCTTTAGGTCAGGGTGTCTGTAAATGTGGTGGCCGTAAAAGAGGCCCCAACTCATCAAGCTCCCAATTAATATGGGGCCGACTTGGAGCATCTGGGATTCCAGCAGGAGTGACTCGAATCTCTGCGAGGCGTACACGTAGCTCCTCTCGAAGAGAAGGCGTTCGATTGGAAACCTGGCCTCATCGGGGGAATGCAATGCCATTCAACAAATATTTACCCCGCACCTACCTATTTCTGTGCCCAGCATTTTGCAAGCTACCAGGGAGGGCAGAGAAGAGCCACCACAGCGTTCGGGACTTAAAATTTTGCCACTGGATTCCGGCCGCACCATGGAAAAAGCACCGCAGGTCGCATCATGACCCACAAGGCGGTAGGCAGGAGGGGGAGCCGCCAGGGAAGGGGTGCAGACAGAGTCCAGCAAGGGGCTGGGAAGCAGGGCAGGTTTCATGCAAGGAAGACCTCTGATGCCTGCTGGCCCTAATTAGGCGACCTGGTCACCAGGCAATGGAATGGGAAAATGACAGCAAGCGGCTTTAGCTGCCTTCATTCCAAGACAACAGATGTCCCCCTTTGGGTTGCTACTCCTTTGGCTTCTACTCACTGGGTTCTTTAAAACCTGAGGTTGGGTTCATCTGTTAGTCAAAGTGAGTGAGCCTCATACCTCAGACCTAGTCAAGGTCCACTGAGTTACCCACAGGCTGCGTGACCCGTATGGCTGGCTTTCAAATAAGAGTTGGACCCAGTTCCGTCAAGAATCTGACCCAAGAGGCAGGGAGGAAAGCTAGCAACGAGGTGTGGGTGCTGCAGCTAACCTAGGTGGGGGAGTGAGGACACTTACTGGATCACAGGCAAGATAGCCACACAGAGCAGCCAGCTGGGCGAGAGCTGAGCACGCGCTGGGGGAACGAAGCAGGGGCGGAGGGGAGGCGGCCCTAGGACCGCCCAGCCCCTGCCCTTCCTCGGGTCTGGCAGTCCTCCCTTCAAAGCACAACTGGATTCCTTCCATCCCAGGAAATTACTGATTGTAGAAGATGTGCTATCAACTTACTTTTAAGTACAAAAAAACAAACGAACAAACAACCACTCTTAATATAAACATCCATCGTAAGATGCAGCCCTATTTCGTAAAGGTTAAAATATGAAGATGTGTTTTAGGACCAAGGAAGTATGGCATTTCACTTGCATTGAGGAACCAAAACATTTTATGTGTGTACGTAAATTAAAATGGAAGCTTCCAAAGTATGTTTCAAAACCGTCATGACTTTGATATCACTAAAGTCAATGTGGATAATTCTGATCAATTTTTCTTCTTCCTGGAATAGAACTCAAGGCTCCTGGTTTACAAACAGAATAGTCACTGAAGCCCAGGTGTGGCAGGTACAAAAAAGGCAGATGATCCATTCAGGCTAAGAGGATAGCTCCAAAGGGGACTCAGGGCCTGGGCGTTCGGTTACGGCCGTTTACCTGTAAATCTTGTTCTGTCCATGAATAACTCGTGCATTTTGGTGGCCTGGCCCTGGATATTTCTGTGAACCTATGACTGAGGTCTAACTACAGATTTATGTCCTACAACTTCAAGCCCTAGTTTTTGGAGAAGAAAAGGCAACAATAAGAGCAGATGTTATTCACATCACCTCGTAGGTGATTCAGCTTGGCAGATGCCAATAGGAAGCGGGTTAGAAAAGGACTGCAGGGTAATGATCTAATCAGTACTTTATCCCCGTTCTTTAGGGTTGACAAATGGGTTTTGCTTTCTCAAGTCTTTCCCATGCTAGTGAGCGTGCCACTGTCTCTACCAGACAGAGGATTTCTATTAAAAATAAGCCGGCTGCCTGGGTGGCTCAGTTGGTTAAGCGACTGCCTTTGGCTCAGGTCATGATCCTGGAGTCCTGGGATCGAGTCCCGCATCGGGCTCCCTGCTCAGCGGAGAGTCTGCTTCTCCCTCTGACCCTCCCCCCTCTCATATGCTCTCTCTCTCAAATAAATAAAATCTTTAAAAAAAAAAAAAATAAGCCCCCAAACTTACACGCAAGCTATAAATACAAGAAGGGGTGGATGGTAACGGAGGAGGAGCTCTTGGAGGCAGGAGCAGGGGAGAGAAGAGCCGGTATTGCCTTCCCACTCTGGGCCCTGTAGAGGATGGCCAGCGCCTTGGAGACAACAGCTGTCTCCTCCTTTGCAGGGCACAGGTTCAGCGCAGTTAAGACAGGACAGGAATGCCTCCGAAAGCTCTTCAACAAGCTGAAGTTTGCTCTCTGTGGAGAATTCACTTTAAGATTCAAATGTTCAGACAACAGGTTGCATTATGACACTAAATGTGAACTAGTCTAAGCCGTAGGGAGCTAAGCTAAGCCAAGCTGTGTTCTCTCCGACAGGAGAACCAGACACCAAGTCCAGGACTAGTCTCTTTCAGAGAACTCCAGAGAGTGGGTGTTCAGGATGTGGCAGGGAAGGCTGGAGGGGCACAGGAGTGTAAACAGTAAATGTGGAAAAGTCAAGTTCAATGCCAGGTCTGCCGTCAAAGACACAAGTGAAATGGGAGCTCTGGAGAGTTCTCTTGCAGGACTAGTCAAGGGCCCGTGTGTTTGGTCATACAAAGCCCAGGGGGTGTGAAGGAGACTACGGCTACTTGAATCAGGGCCCCCCCCTAAGGCCTGAGGGTCTGGGGAGGGAGAGGTGTGCTGGTCACAGCGCCCCCCAGGGGCACAGGAGGAAACGCACAGTAGGACCCAGGGTGGGCGTGGGCTAGGAACCGAGATGATCAGGGGGCCTGGGGCTCCTGGGAGCTCCTGCTGGAAAAGACAAACTGGAAGGCTTCCGTGACCCCCTGTGCGGGAAGCATCCAGAACACCAACACAACAATTTCAAGGAAACTCCAACAATGTGAAAACACTTGGAAAATGGTTTAATGATGTTTTACAACAGAAACGAACTGTACAGTTACAGTAAGTTTAATATATATATAAAAATTACAGCAGACAAATGCATCTACACAAAATCTACCATTTCATTCTGATTCACTGTCACCTACCCAATCTCCCAAGCCTACAGCCCCTGCAGGAGGCCCCAGGAGGGGGAATCATATAAAGGGCACTTTTAAAGAGACAGCACCGCTCATATTCCCCACCGCCTCCCTCAGGCCTCTGGGAGGCACATCAGCTAATTCCCCAAAATGTAAAGTTGCTTGTGTTTTGGGTTTTTGAAATCAAGAAAACGTGTGTTTCCCAGGGGCCCAGATAACAAGGTGCCCCGAACTCCAAGTTATCAGCAGATTCTTATAAAACACCCCTATCAGAGGGGAAATGGCTAAGCAGGCGCTCTGGGGCAGGCTATACAA